AGACATAAGATCTCAACATATACATGTCCAGGATTAACACTACCACTATACATCAACCTGTAAGCGAACCTAGTAGTAAGTAGATCGATGATTTGGAACTCTTTTGATTCTAAAGTTGCTTTCATTGAGACAGACAAATACCTTAATACAGTTTCTTCACTTTTCGTGTTTCTTGTTCGCGTTCATTATAAAGATAAATTTCTCGAAGGAGCAACCGAAGGAAGTCTCGGCGCTTCAAATAAAAGTGGCTGGATAAATAGCGATATATTCGTCTCTGTTTTAAACACATTCAAAAGCACACACTCTGCACAAAAGATAACCCCATATTATTGCTGTGTGACAATCATGATAGCCATGTTTCTCTCGAAGCCATCAACTTCATCAACTACGTCACAGAAAATGGCATAATTTACCTATATTTTCCACCACATACATTCATACATTTAAATAAAAGTAAACGTAAACTCTTGGAAACGACGGACAGTGTGTATCGGCTAAAAAGGGCGAAACTTGCCGCAGTCTGACAGTTTACAAATTACGGAGGGAATAAAAATTGTTGGATTTGCGTTCCCTAATTGCCATCATTTCCCATAAAATCTGATAAAAGCCAAGAGGCTGATTGCAGATGGATTAACGTTTAAAAAAATAAAAAAAAAGTAAAAATTGCTTTCAATAATTGACATAAAATGAACCCAGGCAAAACACAGACAATTTACAATATTCCAAAGCTTGTGAAAATTAAATTTTTTTAATCATTCACTATTATTAGATATACTATCGAATAATGCTATTTTTTTCAGTAAATTTTAAGCCAAGAATAGTATTTTTTAAATGTAGGTAAGATGTTGCACACTTGTGATAACTGCTAATAGCTTAAGTTTTTGAATAGACTGTTTCTGTTTATTAAAAAAACAAGAAGTCTATCAATATCCGTACTTAGCACCTAATTTTATAAAACCGCAATGACAAATAAGTTTAACCCTTAAATGCATCTTGTATCGAAAACGATACAACGTAAACTTCGTTCGAAAGTCTGTGAAATTCGTATGACAGAGTGACAAAGCTGTTTATTGATAATGTCTTTGACTCCTTGAGAAACGAAATAAAAAAATACTGCATCTGTGGCACTAGCCGCCATTTTCAAAAGTTTTGATGTGAAGGAGATTTGCTAATTGACTTTTGAAGATTTTGAATCTAAGGGTCGCCGCACACACACCGCGACAGCCACAAACGCCGCCACGAGAAGCTCGAAGCGGCTACAAAGGTAGCTGAAGCGCGCCACACCCACTTGTGGCCGGTGGTCGACACTTGCGGTCGGTGGCTGCTACTTTTTTTAACCCTTGCGTGCAGTATGATAATGGACTCTGACGAAGAAGGTTTAATTGCGCTACTTTTGATAAAAAGACGTCGTCCGAAACCGTAGTTATTGGATACATCCAATTTTAACGAATGTACACAAATGTAACGAACATTTGATAATCTTCTAAACCATCCCTAAAAGTTTTTCAAACATTTTCGTTTAAGTATAGGTACGTTTTGGCAACTACATGCTGGATTAAAGCAACACGACACCAACGAAACGTAAAAAAAATCTAAAGACTAGCTATCACATTAAGGTAAGTGGAAATAATCACTATGCATTGTTTATTCTACTAGAGAATAGCTAGTTATATAACCCCGTGTGTCACCACCAAAAGATAATTATATTTTATATAAACAGAAATCATTGCAACATAGTAGTAGAAATATCCTTTATATTTCATTAGCCGAAATGCTGTTACATGATTCTACGAACCACTCATACTAAGTAGTAGCTTTAAGAATAGAACGCTTGTAATTTTCAGTATTAAACGGACCTCAAATCGGACCGGTTGTATTCATTTTAACTTGAAGTTTTTAAAAACCCTTTTTCGCGGACCCACTACTTGACATGCGCTGAGGACAGGATAGTCGCTCTAGCTGCACGTACTTCTCAATTATCGGTTCGAGCATCAAATTCTGCTTACCTAAAATGGGGAAAATACGTCGCGATTGCTAAAAACGGCTATTCAAAAGACAAATAAATTTGTCAAGAACGAAAATCCAAAAGTGTTAAGGGTGTTTTGTGCGAGTGTTGAGACAGCGATGTTTTGTACAAACCTAATTACAGAAATAAATCATTTATCATGACTGGCGCTGAGGACAGGATAGTCGCTCTAGCACGTACTTCTCAATTATCGGTTCGAGCATCAAATTCTGCTTACCTAAAAAGGCGAAACTACGTCGCGATTGCTAAAAACGGCTATTCAAAAGAACAAATAAATTTGTCAAGAACGAAAATCCAAAAGTGTTAAGGGTGTTTTGTGCGAGTGTTGAGACAGCGATGTACTGTTAAGTCACCTTTTCACCTTTCAAATCCAGATCCAGCCCTCTCCACTTTTCTTTTGTTATTTTGACATCGACATCTCTCATCTTAACGATAGTTTAAGGACTTTGTTAGAGTTAAATTCATATAAACGTAAATTGTAATAAGTAAATTAAAGAAACATAGAAGTAAGTAACCGTGCATGAAATTCTGAAACCCCTTAAGTAAGTGTACCTAATCATAAGTTTAGATTCACATCAAATTCTGTGAACCATAATTATTGTGTTTAAACAAACTTAAAATGACGGAAATTAAGATACTGCCACGTGAATTTACAATAGCGTAAACAACCCGGAGCAGGAATTATACCTGTATCATTTATTAACTAGCAAGCAAGCTTAGTAGGCAAGGTTGCAGTGTTAGTTAGTGAGAGACGGGACATTAAAACATGGCTAGAATTAAAAGCATTATTGATTCAACATTTTGGCGATCCTCGCTCGGAGGAATGCATTGCTATTGAATTGGAAACTATGAGATTACAAAACAATGAAGGCTACATCGATTTCTGTAATCGAATTCAACATGTTAAAAGTTCTTTAATCGCGAAAGTAAACTTACTTACAGACAAACAAAAGCGAGTAAAATCACAATTGACTCAAACCTTGCGAAGAATGTATTCTTATACAATCTTCCCGAGGACTTAATTCGAATCGTACGATTGAAAGGATGTGATGATAGCCTTGAAGCTGCCCTCTCCATCGTATTAGAAGAGGTCAACTTCAAATACCAATAGCCCATAGCACTATGTTGAGGTCTAATATTCAAAAACCATCCATATTGATGTCATCCCCAGGGCAATTAAATAACCAACACCTACGAAATAATTCATTTGTAAATCCATCCCAATTTAAACCACTCTTTTCGCAGCCGCAGATGCAACAAGCCCCACAAAGTAATTTTAAGTTTGGCATTCCCCAAAATACAGCATTTAAATCTAACTTTCAGCCCACTGCATGGTTATAGACCACCATTTCAACCCTCAATATACAAGCCAAAATTTCAACCTATAGGATATAAACCCTACTTTCAGCCCACAGGTTGGTATAGGCCACAATTTCAACCGACCTAATTTCCAACAGAATTAATTCAAATTTGGAATCCCCAACCAAAACTTTCAGCGATTTCAAAATCCACCAAATCAATTTAAATTTGGCATTCAAACAACACAACAACCGTATAGACTAAATAGTGCGTTAAAAATTGATGTTTCTATGAGGACAGCTCCTCCTCAAAGACCCACTAATATGAATCAACTATTTTATAATCAACTGCAGGACGATTATGTAAACTTCCCCGAATCAGAAAACTACGACGATAGCGTGTACCCTGAATATTACCCCGAGGTCGAACATGTACCCACAGAGGTAACCCCTGATACTTCACAGGAAACTGAAACGGAAAATTTTCAGACAGAAGCCTCGTCCATAAACCCGACATAGTTCAAATTAATACGGAAAGGGTAAATAAATTACCACGTATTTATATCCCCGAAATTGACGCAAAATTTATGATAGATACTGGCTCTACTAGATCATTTATGAGCCCTGATATGGCAAACTTTTATTTTTCTGATTTTAAGTACGAAGAACCGTTGGAGGTGATAAGCACTAAAGGTACGGACAGACGTGCTCATTACTGGCACGAAAGCATGCTTTTATTGAGCAAGTGCTCATTAGTAGCACGTGTGTCATGTTATGAGCATGCTTATTTAGAGCGTGCACAAATGCTATGCATGCTACCTGAGGCGCGGGTAGGTGGGGGGCGTGCTCCGAGCTCGTCTGAACTATCCATTTTGTCTCGATCTGCGGCGAACGACTGTTTTATGCAATTAATTGATGTAATTAATTAAAATTAAACCCGCAATATGTCGCGTTGGGGAGAAGAAAAAACTTAGCTTTTTGTGTCACATTATAGAAGTTACGAATGTCTGTGGAACACACATTCTCCTTTATATAAAAATAATATTGCTCGTAATAATGCTTATGAGGCTTTATTAAAGGACATGAATGATTCAAGTTTAACAATGAAAATAATTAAAACTTAAATTAAAAACCTAAGATCTGTGTATCATGCCGAAGTAAGAAAAATCAACAATTCGAAGCGGTCCGGAGCTAGTGCAGCAGACGTTTATAAATGATATAATATGATTATACGTATTACGTATATAATATGATTATTTTATTGAGTTCTGTACGGATAGCACTATCACTATATACTTGTACATCCATTTTGGCCGAGAGCCTGGTGCCAAATAGCACGTCTGTCCGTACGTTTGCTTTGAGCATGCCTATTTAGGAGTATGCTTTAAACCAAGCTTGCTTATAGGTACAGTTACACATGCTTATTTCAAGCACGCAAGCATGCTTTAACCGAGCACTTGCTACTTACAAGCACCTGTGTCCAAGCATTGCTTAAAATTAGCATGCTTATTTCGAGCAAGCTCAAAAATCGACAGGCGTGCGATTTTTGAGCATGCTGCCTGCGGCGCGGGTGGCGGGGGGCGTGGTTTAAGCGCGTGTGGACAGGTTTGCTTATTGAGCATGTTGGGATCGATCAGTTTCGCAGCAGGAGCAAGCGCGCCGATTTCGCGCCAAAAATGTCTCGCTGGGGCGAAGAGAAGACTTTGAAATTTGTCATTCTTTATCGGAACAACGAATGCTTATGGAATCCTCGCTCACCACAATATAAATACAATGTTTCGAGAAATAATGCATACCAGGATTTAATAAGCAACATGGACGACCCCACTTTAACTCTGAAAACTATAAAAACCAAAATAAAAAACTTGAGGTCTGCTTACCATACTGAATTAAAGAAAATTGAAAGTTCTAAAAGATCAGGTTCTGGTACCGCTACCGTATACAATCCATCCGCAACCTGGTTTCACGAACTACATGCGTTCCTTCGAGACAGTGGCGAGTACAGGGAACCTATTTCTATGGAAGTGGTGAGTCACGGTTTTTATTAAATAAAAATGCACTTAATTATTTTTAATATTTTTCATATTCTTTATTGTATAAATATAGTTACTTAAAATAATTAAGTAAAAATTTTGAGCAGTCAGCCTCATAAGTAGCTGACCACTTTAGTACCTTGTCACACTAACAAATTTACGTAATTTACCAAGCGTACATTTGTTACTTTGACAAAGTACTAAAGTGGTCAGCTACTTATGAGGCTGACTTACAACATTTTCTACTTAGGTTATAGTATAATTATTCATATTTTTTATAAGTATAGGGATTTAAAATTAAGAAAGTGTTGTTTTTGAGGCTAAACAATGAAATAATGTTGGTGAATTTATATCATATGATCTTGCCACGGTACCGCCTCTGTAGTTATAAAAAGTTGCGCATAGGCATCTCTTATTGCTTCCGCCCGTCGAGAAGCATGATTACTGTAGCGTGAAGGTAGTAAACTTTCCAGAGTTCTCTGCAGTTTTGCCCTCCATGATCCTGGTACAACAACACGTTGTTGTCTATCTTCAAAGTCTACACATCTTTGCGTGATGTACATGTCAGATGTTTTCCGAAGCCAGTTGTGTAAAGAGCAGGCAGCTAATGTAATTCTATCGACATTTTTGGGGGTCATATCTATAGCATTCATAAGAACTCGAAATCTTGTTACTAAAATTCCAAACGCATTTTCAACGATTCGTCTGGCTCTCGATAAACGGTAGTTAAATATTTTTTCTTTACGAGTTGGAGTTCTTCGATAGGGCTTCATAAGATATGACTTTAGAGGAAAAGCAGCGTCTGCCACAATAACTGATTGGTTCGGTAAATTAAGACTATTATTTTCCAAGGCTTGTGCTAAATTTGATTGTTGAAAAACACCTCCATCAGAAGCTCTACCATTAGTCCCAACATTAACGTACGAAAAACATACATGGTCTTCACAGAATCTTGTTATGTCTGGACTTTAAAAGAGACTGTGACCTCTGAATTTGTTTCGGCGTTTCTTCTCGGAGTAGTCAGATAGGAAACGTCGATCTAAAGTTTAAAAAAAAATATGTTTGACGTGTAAAAGTGTTTTGTAAAAACCTACTTACAAAAAAAAACGTTTCAGAGTCCGCTCAAACATAAATTTTACTTATATTCCATAGATAAAAATTATGACTCTTTTTTTCCGAATAACGTGTTCCTATGCTCTTTGGTGGTTTATTTCTTTTCTTTTGCTTACGGGCTGTGTATAGCTTGGATTATTTATTTTAGACAAACATGGCTACTAACAAAAAGGAACGCGAAATTGAGGAAATGCTTCGCATGTTGGAAAACGGAGAGCTATCTGAGGACGAGACGTAGTCTGATGGCGAAGATAGCAAGTTTTATCCAAATCCTAGGGATTTGCAGTCTGTTCTTGAAGAAAATTCGAAAAGTGATGGGGAGGGCCGTATTGGTGATGCAATTTTTGGTGACCCAGTTGGAGATGGTTGCCAAAACCTTGCAGATACAGAGGATATTCCAGATCCACCTTTGATCGACGAGGTGCTAAATGTAGTGCGCCCAGTCCCACAAATATGGTTAGAAATTAATTTGGAAAAGGCAGGCTCTTGCTTTTCGTGAAAAACACATTAATTTTTAAGGCAATGAAGAGTTATTACGAGTATTGCATTGCATAGCCAATGCAGAGTCCATTCCAATTTTTTAGTTCCTTTTTCGGCAACGATCTCATTGTAAAAATAGTAGAAGAAACTAACAAATGCGCAGTCCAAAAGAACCCAGAAGGACCTGTCATAGTAAACGCAAAGGACATCCTCCCATACTGGGTACCGGACAACCTGGGTATTTTGTCTTTTATGCCACTATCCCAGCACCCGTTCTTATTGGGGTAGATATGGGTTTACGACTATAAAAGACACGATGGCGGTGAGCAAATTTGAAAAAATAAGACGAGTGATACACTTCACAGTGAAGTACAAGTAATCCCAGGCATCTTTTATATCCATCATCATGTTGACAATGATTGTGCCAGCATCCAGGTATCAAAGAAAAACAGATGCTTTTACTTTTATTTACATTATTACATATTTATTAGTAAAATTGTATACAATAATGTGCTATTTACTGCTGTCAGACTAATATTAATAATAATTTATTTTTGCAGATTTGCCTCCAACTTTGGTGATAGTAGACGACCAGATAAGTGAAACAACAGAACAACATAATAATAAAGATTTTGTGACGAAGGTAATTATTGATATACATAAACTGTTTTAGTAAAATATAGTCTACTTTTAAAATATTTGTTAAAAATCATTAAGAACATCAATATTATTTAATCCATTTATTAATTTTAACATTATTTTATTAGGATTGGTGAGATAACACACCGCAATTGTTGAGGACACCGGTGTCACAGGCACTCTAACTTGATAGTGCAGTGGATAAAAATACTCCTGTGACTGACAATAGAGCGAACATGATTGAGAAGCAGAAACTAAATTGTAAGACCTGGATTTCTAGGAGGAGGCCAATCCATACAAATATGTCTTCTTCTTTGGAACTGTTGCATAAAAAGAAGATAGAAGAGAGAACAAAGGTTTTACATGACCTGGATACTCATATTAAGAAACAAAAAAAAACAAAATACTAATAACATTTTTTTATTTGGAGCTAATAGAATCTCCAAACCCTCAAACAAAGAGGAATAGAAAGCTACTTAAAAAGCCGCGTTTTGCAGTACAAAAGTTGGGCGAGGCGACTTCATTAGAGGAGAGAAGCTTTAACACCCCTTACATTATTCGTGGTGGTGCAGCAAGAGTTCCACAACCCAAAAGTTTTGCAATCGCTAATTTAGATCACGAGCGAAAGGAAAAGGACCATCCACTTCTCACTCTGTGGAGTCAGGCTCCAATTTTGAAATAGATGACCTATATGTGTGCCGGCATTTATATGTGGGCGAAATATTGCCTATGTTCAATTTACCTCGGCTTGTCAGGCACCTGGGGGTCTAGCCATATTGGTGTCGAAAAGTATTCTACATACACTACCGCTTTTGCGTAATTGTATTGTCGAAAACGCTTCGTTCGTAGCCAAGAGACATGTCGATACATTACCGCAAAGTCGACAGCGTAGATGCGAGCTGCTGTTCGTAGCACCTTATTCCGTCATATTGTCTCTGGATTAAATGTATTCCTAATGTCACTTTTATAAACAAATAAAAGTTAAAACTTTACAATATTATTGTAAATTTGCAATTGGAAGCTACAAAAGGGACATTAGAATGTCAGCAAGGTCGGAGCAATTTTCGATTTAAGTGGAATTTACGGAAGGTGCAAAGTGAATATATGAATTTTAATTGCATGTTTAAATTAATTATGGTTTGTTTCATGTTTTCTCAGAAATTTAAGGCTACAAATAAATACAATATTTTGAAATTGCATAATCGCGATAATATATAATAATTAGTAGTACTCATACTTTGATATTTTTAGGATTTGACCTCACAACTAATCTACAAAATGAAGAAGCAACATATTTTGTTACCGCTTAGAAGAAACAATAAAAATAGTACTGTGGATTGATAAATAAAAAGTGAAAATAAGGTTGACTAGAAGTTGATAAAGTCCAAGGAATTAAAAAACAATAGAAAAAAAACGTAGACTAGTGTGATCACTGAAATTAGAGTTTGATTTAACCCTTTCAGAACTTGCGTGCACAATTGAGGACATAACGTTTTATTCGTATAATGTAGGCAAAAACAATTTTTTCTCGTTTTTGAACCAGTGTTATCATTTGAGGACAAACCAAATTACAATGAAAACACAAGCCGCGCCATCTTTGATGCGTAGAAGTGACTAAAAAGTGCAACCGAAATCAGTGACTGGCGACCGTTGGCGAAGGGTAAGTAAGTCGTGATTATTTTATTGATATTTATAAAATTTGCGCAATTCAGACCAAACAAAAAATATTTCATACTGCATAGATATGTTAGGTACCCGAATGTGATTATAGTTTACTAGATTTCAATGTTTTTTATTTGTAAATCGAGTTTTTTCTTTTTGTGCTCAAATGCGCACATTAGGTCTTACATTATAGTTTTAGATTATTGCATCATTCTTTGAAGGTAGTCTTAGAAATGTATTTTTTTCAACTTTTAACCATTTTATTAGCAGTTTTATTGATTTTTCTTTTCTTTTGAGACACCTGCTTTATGTTTCAGTGAAAAAGAAAACAAAATGTTCTCACGGGATGCTCTCCAGTTGCTTCAAACTGGAAATTTGTCTGATTTAGAACTGTCTTCGGATGAAGAAGAGCAGCCAGTCAGTAATGTTGCTTCGAATAGGACCGTAAGGTTTGGCGCAAACCGCATCACTTCGGTTCAGCATGAGTACGTGCCACCAGATTCTGAAGACGAGGAGGAGGTATTTGTAACGAGTCAAGGCCCATCTCAACTATCACTTGATACCAGGTATGAAGTGGATGAAGCAACTGCAGCTGACGGGTTTGATTATCTTACACCGAAAGACCGAATCAAATGGCGACACAAACCAATTGAATGCGGCATGCCAACGAACTGGACCCCTCCTATATTTGTTGATCCGTCGAAAAAACCACCGATTGAATATTACGATAAATACATTCCAAGAAGATTTTTTGAGATGATGTCTGAAATGACAAATTTATATGCAGTGCAATCAGGAAGACTACGATTTCGTCCCACAACCGCAAGTGAGTTAGAAGTGTTGTTTGGGTTACATTTGGCCACAGGAATCTTCAACTACCCTTGCTTGAAGATGTATTGGGAAAACAACATATCCGTTAGCCTTTTTCTAGAAAACATGACAAGAGACAGATTTTTCGAACTACGGAGCAATTTACACATGGTTGATAATACAAAAAAGCCAACTGATTGTCAAGATGTTTATTACAAAGTGCGGCCAATATACGATTCTTTACGAAAGAGATGTTTGGAATTGCCCTTGGAAAAAGAGCTATGTGTTGATGAACAGATGATTCCTTTTACGGGAAAACATGTGGAAAAACAGTATGTAAAAGGAAAGCCTTGTCCTGAGGAAAAGCTGTTTCCTCTGTGCGGTAAGAGTGGTACAGTTTATGATTTCATTTTGTATCAGAGTTCGTCACCCGAACTTGATAAAAACATGATAAAAAGAATTGGCTATGGAGCTTCTGTTGTACTGCATCTGACGAAAAGAATTGGCGACAGCGCAGGTCATGAACTGTATTTTGACAATTACTTTTCATCATACCACTTGTTGCAAATTCTGAAACAAAAGGGTATTATGGCTGCGTGCACCGCTCGTATAAATCGATTCGGTAAGACACCTCAATTGACAAATGTGTCGGTTAGAAACAAAACTAGTCAAATCCAAAAATAAAGATTTTGGAACCGAATGTGCCATTTGTTTCGTTAAAAAATCTTGTTTTTGTTACCGGTATCAAAAAGAGTTAAATCAAAAGCAATTCGTAGAAAAATCGATTCGAAATCACTGCTCACTATCAAAAATGGTCAAATCCTTTAAAACTTAGAAACAAAATCGGTCTAATCCGTGTAGCCAATCAGAAGCTAGAACTATCTATGAAAATAACTGCCGTTTTGCAGAATCAGAAGCTTGTGGATTGTGGTTTTGTATTTTAGTCGCCGTTTTTAATTAAAATTTGGTGTTAAATTACAATTAAATGGATAATTTAATAAAGGAAACGACTCCCCAGCTATCACGGAAAAGGACGCAACAAAAAGCGGATTGGAAATGCAATAAATTGAAGAAGGAAAGGTATGATTGTGGTGCTTTGATCACTCACGCTGCCCTTCATTGTCAGTGGTGCTCAACATTGTTTCATAATAATTCTATTACGTACAGGCGACGTGTTTTATTTTGGATCAGCAGCTACTGAATAATTTACTTTTTCTTACAAATTCTTTGTTTGAAGTATTCTTTATCTGTGTGCTGCGAAGCCCAAAGGTAGAGCTTTGTATTTAACTAGTATGATATTTTTATGCGTCGTTATAACGCAACGCAAACCCATAACTAAAATAACAATACTATAGAAAAATGATGAAAATACTAAATAATAATCGTAGAAAAGGGGTCCTATATTTTTAATAATATTTACTTATTTACGATCGTTATTATTTTAGGTACACTTCAAAAGAGCTACCAAATTTAAAGCTTCCATGTGACCACTACACAAAAGCATACAGGTGCACTTCATTGAGTCATGCTGATATAATAGCATTTAATAAAGCCTTCTATAAAAAACCGGACAAAATTTATCAGGATAATTTTATAATTAACCATACGAAAGTTACTACTACTCAGCGACAACGGCCAGTAAATAAT